GGTCATATGGAGGCGGTGAATCTAATTTCCAGTAATAAATATAGCGAAAAACAAATTGTCAGTCTTAAATTGCCTTTCTATTGTTTTATTTTATATTTTCATTTATTACTCATTTATTTGTCCTTATTTATATAGGGTTACTTGGCCGTAACTCTTTTAATGCATGAAAACAGTGATCTTACTCGTTTGGTTATCAATTCAATACGAAAAGATCTTGATGAACTTAATGAGATCTATAACTGCCTCGCTTTACATGCAATTGCAAACATTGGAGGTAGAGAAATGGCTGAATCATTATCATCAGATGTTCATCGCCTTTTAATATCTCCGTAAATAATTTTAATTTTAATTAACTTTAATTAATTTTAATTAATGTCAAACATCAACCTCTTACTCATTCTATTTAAAACTATATACTTTTTTTTTGTTTTTATGTTTATAGCAATTCTAAAAGTTTTGTCAAGAAAAAAGCTGCTCTGACTCTTTTACGTTTGTACAGAAAACATCCTGACGTAATTCCCGCGAATGATTGGGCGGGTAGGATTATCATGCTAATGGATCAACCTGACTTGGTATGTCAACTATATTATGATTATAATGATTATAATGATTATATATAAATTTATTTAAAAACTGCGTAATTCATTATCTTTTTCCTATTGAAATTTTACAGGGTGTTACATTGTGTGTAACGAGCTTAATAATGGCATTGGCGCAAGATAATCTAGATGCATACTTGGGTTGTTACGCTAAGGCTGTTAGCCGATTATCAAAGGTTTTATTCATTTGAAAAAAAAAATAATGTTCTTATATAAGTTATTTATAAATTATTTATAAATTTACTTATTGTCATTCGTTTCTAATTTATAGATCATAGTTGACAAAGATTATCCACCAGACTACGTATATTATAAAGTTCCTATTCCTTGGTTACAAGTTAAACTGCTTCGATTATTGCAGTATTATCCGCCCTCTGGTAGGACATTTAAATAATAAATTGTATGTTTTTTATTTATATATATATATATTTCTACTCGATTCTGGCTAATAAGATTTTATTCTTCAGATGATCGTGAAATCCAAAGTAAACTACACGTTATACTCCAGACAATAATCAACAATTCTCAAGAAGCTCAAAAAAATGTTCAGCATAACAATGCTCAAAATGCTGTGTTATTTGAAGCCATTAATCTTGCAATTCATTTAGATACTGAATCGCAAATTGTCAACCAGGCTGCCGTTCTTCTCGGAAGATTTATAATATCAAAAGAAACTAACGTAAGGTATTTGGGTTTAGAAACCATGGCTCATTTAGCTGCTTGTGTGGATTCATTAGAACCAATTAAAAAGCATCAAGATACTATTTTATTATCATTACGAGATAAGGATATCAGTGTACGACGTCGAGGTCTTGATCTTTTATATAGTATGTGTGACGTTACTAATTCTAAGGTCATTGTTGCTGAATTATTGCGCTATCTTAATATTGCCGATTATGCTTTACGTGAGGAAATGGTTCTTAAGATTGCAATTTTAACTGAGAAATTCGCCACTGAATATCAATGGTACGTTGATATAATTTTACAATTAATTAGTACTGCCGGTGATCATGTTGGCGAAGAAGTGTGGTATCGCATAGTACAGATTGTTACTAATAATGAAGAACTTCAAGAGTATGCTGCGAGAACTGTATTCACTCATCTAAAGTCTCCTGCATGTCATGAAAACTTAGTAAAAGTGGGTGGTTATATTCTTGGTGAATTCGGTCACCTTATCGCTAATATGCCTGAAGCAAGTCCTCAAGAACAATTTCGTGCTATTCATTCAAAATTCGGTTTATGTACACTTCAAACACGAGCCTTACTTTTAACCACTTACTTTAAGTTTATCAACCTTTTTCCCGAGATGAAAGGGGAAATTTTGTCTGTTTTCTATCGGTATCGCCATGTGTTGGATTCTGAACTCCAACAACGTGCTGCCGAATATTTAGCTATCTCAACTATGCCGAATGATGATCTCTTGCAGTCAATTTGTGAAGAGATGCCACCATTCCCTGAACGTGAATCTGCGTTACTATCGAGGTTGCACCAAAAGCACACGGATACTGAAGATAAACGAACATGGATTATTGGTGGCAAAGATGCTAATAAAGAACGAGATGTGGCTCGATTGACTTTAACAAGTAGAAATAACTCTATGGATAATAAAGTAAAAAATGAAACGAATGGCAATAATGAGATAGATCTTGTTAGTTTTGAAGGACTTAAAATTAGTAATGGAGACCAATTGACTACAACAAACTCAGGGTCTGTAACATCTGGTTCAGAAAAAGTTCCTGATCGACTGCTATTCACAACTGAAGGTGTACTATATGAAAACACCCAGATTATGATTGGTATTAAATCAGAATACCATGGTAACCTTGGTCGAGTTGCACTGTACTTTATCAATAAAACACAGACAAACATTACTTCTTTTACCACCTCCATTGAGAATATCTCTGATTTAACAATTACCACT